TGCATGTCACAGATCCAAAAAACTAGGGACCACTACACATGATCTCAGAGAGAGAGAGAGCCGACAAAGAGCATCTTCATTACATGGGTTTTCGTCCGCCAGGGTCATGCGAGAGAAGAGAGAGTCCATGGGTTTCAGAACCCAAAAAAAGAAAGAGAGAGAATCCGAGAGATTAATGTTCTACAACTTTTGGAGGTCATTTATAATTTTTTTTCGGAAATTTGAATTCCTTCGATTAATCCTAACAATTGTAAGATCGATTTCAAGTACCCAAAAGTTATAAATAACACTCCAAATTCATAAGAAAAATTATGAAATTTGTACGCGATATGGTATCGCAAGTTTTTTTTGGTAACTTAGTAGAAAGGTAATTCTTGACATTCGGCAGTGAATAAATCCTCAGGGTCGCTCGTGCTATGGTTTACTGTGTCAGCGCCACCAACGCGTCTTTTCTCTCACTAACTCCCACACCCACCCACCCACCCCCAACATCACTCTGAATTATGCGGTCAAACCAAGCATTAGCATTACCCTATAGCTAACTTACAAACAAATTACACCCTGTACTTCTCTTTATCTCTCATTCTCAATAAGATGACAACAATGGTCATGATCTTTGACCATATAATAGGTACCACAAACAATGGTCATGGTCCTTGTCATTCCAAATTCATGAAAAATTGAGTAGTCATTTTCTTGTTTTCATTTTTTGAGATATTTCGTAAAATTCATTATTTATAGTAAATTTTTTATCATTGCGTTTTGTTCGTAGACATTTTATTTCAAGCCAAACTATATGCTAGTATCATTTTTTTATTTTTCAATTTTGTTTTAATTTGCTATTTGTTTGCGATCCGGGTGCAACATCTTCCAATCATAGAGACAATCTATATAAGAGGAACCTGCAGCACCTACCCATGACAACAAAGGCAAGACAATGTTGTACTATTAAGTGCTGCTAAGTATCTTTAACCAAATTTAGGAATGTACAGTTTTGTACTTCCATTCTTTCTTTATCTTCTGGCCAGACATAAATCTTAAAAATGTACACAAGATTTCTTTATTGTCGTTCAATAATATGTAGCATAGTGCATCAAAGATTATCTATAAATAATAGGTACCAGTACCACTAACATGTTAAGTTTATGTTGTGATCGTGCAGGAATTATGGTGAATAGAAAAAAATCAAACAATTAAGAAAGCAGGAGAAAATAACACACAGAGATTTACGTGGTTCGGCAATGTGCTTACATCTACGAGAGCGAGCGGCCGTTCTTTTTCATTATTCAAAGTAGGGTTACATCTTAAGTATTTATATAACCATAATACGGACGTATTTATAAAAATACCCATGTACCGTACCGTAGGGGCGTTGCCCCCGCACTCCCAACTAATCAGCGTCCCCTTTATACAAATCTCGCAAGATAGATGCCGTCGTGGGCTCCGCTCCGCTACGTTCCGCTCCGCTCCGCTACGCTACGCTCTGTCCGCTTCGACATCTGTCTCCTTGCCATTATGCACACAACAAATATGAGTCACACATACTCTAACAGTTTACGAAGTGTTTTTTAGCATTCATCTATTTTCTATTATTCTCTTTTCTGGTGAGGTTATCTATGCGAATCCATGTAGAAATCAATTGCAATTGCATAGATATAATAATGATTTATATAGATTAGACTCAATGTTTTACAAAGATATAATAATGATTTGAGCCATTGGGAATCCCTTACCGTGCATGAATCTTAGGTATGATCTAAGGTCGAATCTCATTGGCTGCAGAACAATTTTCTTTCATCTTGTCCAAAGAAGTAATCTCCATCATTGTACAAGATAAGTCTAATAATATGAGCCTTTAGGCATCCCTTGCCATGTTGCCCTTGAATCTTTGTCTTTTGATTTACCAAGTGCTAACGCAAGTTTTCATTGATTGATTCAATTTAAAACTACCCAAACTTATGAAATCAATTGAAGAAGTGCCCATATGGGTCCTTTTCATAACTTATTTAGCAACACAAACATACACAATGATTTAGCAATGAGATTATTATGATTTTTTTATTGTATAATTGATTAAGTCACTACGTGTTAAGTGTTAGCTAACGAGTCAGTTTCGTGTTTTCTTTTCTTCAATCTAATACTCTATCTCTTACAAGTATTGCTCTTCTGTTATGCACGGGATTGCAAACAAATGACAAAACACATTAGAAAAACACAGAATACAAGAGATTAGGTGATTCTGTATGAAAACTTATATCCATGTGCAAAATGCTTTGGACAAATGCATTTTACGATGTAGATTCCAAACCTTTCTTAAAAACGAAAGGAAAAAACAATCCCTCTTACCACAAGTCCAAAATACATATAACACCCCCAAAAATCATAATTTCTTGGTTGAATCAAATTATCAGTTCTTGATGGAATGAAATTCTCGAAAAAAAACTTTATTTTTTAATTAGATCAGATTTCCAACAGAACCAGAGTTTCATTTCAATCGTATTAATGCAACCAAAAAAAAAATTCAATTAAAATCCAACTGATTCAATACTGGATTGAGTTTGAATCAAAACGAAGTAAAAGGGACCAACATATCAACATCTTCCCAGGATGATGGGTACTGTCCGATTGGAATCAAAACAAGTTCAATCTGTCTCTCACCGGCCTTATCTTCCAAAAATGATGGGTATCAAAAGTCAGTGGTCTAGATGTATATCCTCTTTCATTTTCTTCTGTCACACACACACACACACACTGTCTTGTCTTGGAATACCACTTGTACTTGGCCTACTTAAAGACCGAGACAACTTTTCTGTATGTATTAAAAGCTGGCTAGAAACGAAGATGAAGTTCAAAGAATAGACCCGAAGAAAGCCGGGGGGGGGGGGGGGGGGGGGGAGACACGTGTCAATCTTACAGAAAACTGTGGAGTGTGGGCCCCCATCGTTAACTTTGAGTGATAAAGATAAGAGCTTGCAGACGCCAATGGTGCATGGGTGGAAAATTGAAACAGATCTCTGTCTCTGTCTCTGTCTCTCTCTCACACACACACACACACACACGTAACATATTCTTTAGCTCTTACTATGCCAGCTCTGTCTTCTTCATGAACAAAAAAGAAACGATTGATTCCAGTTGACATTTTGGTAACCACTAAAACAACCAAAGAAAAGGAAACAAAAAAACAGCAATTTATTGGTTGTGCATTTCTTGAGCTACAGTTCTAAAGCTAGTACGAGAAAAACAACCAAAAGCTTCCCAAGTTTTTCAGTTTCTTTCGCTTGTTAGTATCTTTTTTCAGCTATTGAAAACTTTTGCTCCAAAGTACTATTGCATCTACCACAACAAAAAAAAACAAAAAACCCTTTTCACCAACTTAATAGACTTGAATTTTTTTTTTTTTTTAATTTTCTGTTTCTTTCTCTATTTTGTTTCTGTTTTGTTATTTATTGTATTTGTACACGAGAAGTTCCTAATCAAGTGAAATATTACCATGCTGTCATATTTCAATAATAAATGATTTTAATCCCAATGAGTAGGTCAAATGATAACCAACTACAAACTTTAACGTTTTGAGTTTTAATATTGATAATTTTGAAATCAGGTTATAAAGAATTTATTTTTTATGAATATTTTAGTCTTCGAATATTGATAATCTCTTGGTGTTAGGCTACGAAGAATTTATCTTTTATAAATCCCTTAGTTTCTCCGCCTTTGATAAGATCTAAGAAAAAATTAGTCAAAGTGCGCGCAAGTTGATTCAAATAACTTGGGCTGTCGAACCAAAAAAAAAATAATAATAATAATAAATAATTTTCAATCCATTGGGAAAGAAAAATCATTCAAGAGGTGTTGGGATGACTGTCGGCTTAAAAAACTCATCAATTAATTACAGTTAAGAGTAATTTTATTTAAATTTAAAAATTTGATCTGATATTTTGTTGATTTCATGACGTGACTTTATTAAAATTATTAGATTAATATTAAATTCTAATATTTAATAGAACTCACAATTAATCTAAAGATTATAATAAATTAAATCAAAAAATTAGATAAACAAATTATATGTCAATACCATTGCCCTTAACTTAAATTCTTGGGGGCCGGTTAGTGGTTGAATAATATTTCTGTTAAGGATCTGAAAATTTGGTGGATTAGAAAACCATTACCAATGACAACTCAAAGGTTAACCTGAGTACAAGCCTGTAACCCTAAAAAATGTTCTGTCTTGAGTTGAGAAGAAACAGATAAAAGAATAATGGTATGTGAAATTAAAAAATAGATTTGATAATTATAATTATTAAATAATTAATGTGTTCTAATAAATAATGAGACCCAGAATATAATTAATTATTATAACTATTAAATTTATTTTTTAAATTCATGCAATCTGGACAAAAAAAAAAGTTGAATTCGGAGAGGGACGCAATATTATGTAATAAATATATGTTTACGAGTGAGAGAGAGAGAGAGAAAGAGAGACCCTTCATCCACCGCCCATGACCATGAGCTCCCGATCTTAGCAAAACCAAACCTATCACAGATCTATTCTCTCGATCTAACCCTAACCAAACACTCATCCCCAGAAGGCAAGAGAAACCAAACCTATTCTCTCAGCTTTATCATTCCCAAACCTCAACAACAACAACACCGAGAGAGATTGGAAAACCTTGGGGCTTAAATCTTACAAAGAGTTTAAGGGCAAAGAGAGAGAAAGATGATTGATTCAGCTGAGAATTTGGTGGGTGACACCCAAAATCCACTTGCTTTTCCTCTTTTATGGTGAAAGACTATCTGTACTTTGATTTCCTTAAACAAGTCCGGAAAAACATCAAAGCAAGCAAGAAAAAAGAGAAAGAGAGACCCAAAGTCCACTCCTTTGACTTTCCTCTTTGCCCCACCTTCTTCCTCTTTAATCATTTTACCCTTTACTCGTATTTTGATTTTTTGATCTCTGAAGAAGTGAAGGTTCTGATCCAGAAAAGGAAGGTAGATTTGAAGGAAAAAGATGGATCAAGTAACTGCATCAGCACATGGCCATTCACTCCCACCTCCATTTCACACACGAGATTTCAATCTTCAACACCATCAATTTCACCACCAACAGCAGAATTCAGAAGATGAACACAGCGGCACGAGTGGTCTGAACATGAGTCAGAAGCGAGATCGAGACGAGAACACCAACGACAACTTAAACTCCGGCGAAGGCAAAGAAATAATCACCGGAGAAGGAGAGATGAGTCGGCGGCCTCGGGGAAGACCAGCCGGATCGAAGAACAAGCCCAAGCCACCGATCATCATCACTCGTGACAGTGCCAATGCCTTGCGCACCCATGTCATGGAGATTGCAGATGGGTGCGATATCATGGAGAGTGTAGCCAATTTTGCGAGAAGAAGACAGAGAGGTGTCTGCATTATGAGTGGAAGTGGCACTGTGACTAATGTTACTCTGAGACAACCAGCCTCTCCTGGTGCAATTGTGACATTACATGGGAGGTTTGAGATCTTATCCTTAGCTGGGTCGTTTCTACCACCACCAGCTCCGCCGGCGGCGACGGGGTTGACCATATATCTAGCTGGTGGACAAGGCCAAGTGGTGGGGGGTGGGGTGGTTGGGGCTCTTCTGGCTTCAGGTCCAGTGGTGATTATGGCAGCCTCATTTAGCAATGCTGCATATGAGAGGCTTCCATTAGAAGATGAAGAGACTCCTCTTCAGATGCAAGGAGGTTCACTTGGGTCTCCGGGAGGGGTCGGACCGCCGGAACAGCAACAGCAGCAACAACTACTAGCAGACCCATCACTGTTTCATGGCATGCCTCCTAATCTCCTCAACTCCATTCAATTGCCAGCTGAGGCATATTGGGCCACTGGTCGTCCACCATACTAGGCTTACTAGCTAACAAGCTCATTGAAGGGTCGTGTTGATCAATTTTCTGCCAGCTTTAAGCCTTTTAACTCACCAAGAACTCGTAGCAGTATGTTTAGGTAGAAGAATTTCGGGTTGTTGAGCATTTCAGGTTCATTCTTTCCCTTTTCATTTTCCTATCTTCTTGTTATTTTATGTTAGGTTTTTGTTTACGCTTGGTAGTCAGATGATTTGCTTGTGTGTTAATTGAGGAACTTTTGTAAATTATGGTTGTCTTGGTGAGTTCAATTTTATGATAATAACTGAAGCATTTTGTTCCAATGGCTACACAAGAAGGAACAACATAAGCATCACCAAATGAGCTAGAAAATCCCCAATCTCTCTCTCTCTTACACACACACGCGCGCACAAAAACACATTATTAGAAGAGTGATATTTTTTAGACTTAAAAATTCAACCTAATTTGTTTACACAATGACGTGATTTTATAACAATTATTAGATTAACACCAAATTTTAATATTTGATGATGTCTACAGTGAATTCAAATGCTACATTGAATTAGATCAACAAATTATATGTTTGTAAATTAAGTCCCAATAACATTGCTCTTATTAAAAAATTTAATGTTTTAGACTTAATTTATTGTTAGAGTAGGATTAACATGGATCTTAATTTACTATCCGAAAAAACATGGATCTTAACCAACAAATTTAATTGACATCCACATAGCATCATTGTTACTCTTGTTTTCACAGACTTATAGAGTATAGACAACCTACATTCATCAATTTTCGTGAAACCCCATCATAATTTCAGCTCTCAATTTATAATGGGATAAACATAGCAGTACGTCGATAATGTGAGCATCAGAGGGATGGTTATTAGTGTTAGCTGTTGTGTTAGAAAGCTGGCGGAACAAAAGGAGGAGGGTTCATTAAAGCCACTGACGGTTTCAATGGGTGGGTGGCAAACCATTTACGAGAAGAAAAGAGGTATGGGGCTCTATAGTTTCCAACATTTTTCTTTATGGATTTGAGGGTTTTAGGGTTTTTCTATGCCTAGACATGAGTTATATTTGGCTACTGCTTTACACGTGCACTGGTCCATACCAGCTCCTTTTCGAGGCAAAGCAACAGTTGAATAAACTGCAACAACCCGGACAAAGTGGCCTTAAGCGTTATGTATTCTCTCTCTCTCTCACTGCATATATATATTTATATGTATATGTATATTTATATGCATATCTATGTGTGTTTTGTGTATTCATCCGGATTCTTGGAACTGGAGATTGGGCAACAGTTCAAACTTTTAAAGCCATAAACCAGCTCAGATTCTTTGTACTTAAGCAAGCCGTCACACACCCCCATTGCTTGCTTTTTCGCAACAACTCATCTGTATAGGCTTATCCTCTCATGGGAGACAGTTGAAAATTCAACGTTGGCTTTTCTTTTGGGATGATCATTTCTCTCTTGCTGTCTTCTCCTTTTGCTTGATGGATTCATTTTACAACTAGGAAAGAGCTCTTGATTATTGGAGTTAACTATATTACTGTGTAATGATTAGGTTAACCTTAATCTCTGTTTCATCTCTCTTACTCACTGGCACACTTTGTTTCCCATGTTCATCTTCTTCGTTTTACTGTTGAGATGTGTATTTTTGGCTATCTATCTAATTTTTCCTGTGATACCGTGAAGAGTTTCTCCCCTTTGTTAGATGTTAACCCCACTCTTTAAAATGTTATGCATATAGAGTTTCCTTCTGGTTTCAATGCTTCTTTTCCAATTCCATGTTCTATTTACTCTTCCTCCTCCTGTGGTCCCCCCTTTTTTTCTTCCTTTTGGTGGTTGGGAAGGAAGCAAGGTGAAATAGGGGTTACTCCTGATGAACCTTCATTGTTTCTGTTCCGGTTAAGCGAAATAAGGGATCAAATTGAATTGGAGCTCTTTATTGTAGCTGGTAAGATTCCAACTTGTCAAGGAAAATATCTATTATTAGAAGCATTTTAGGGAGGGAGGGCTTTAGATTACTGAATGCTTTGAAGGTTTCTGTGATTGCTTGTAGGTAAAATCCCACCATTTCCACGTCTTAATGGAATGGAAAATGAGACGTTTCTTTGTAAAGTCATTCTCGAGAACCAAATGAATAATGGTTGTTCGTTTCATAACTCCATTGGAGGGAGAGATTTGCAAAGAAGATATGAGGACATTATTAGTTACTTTCTTGCCAAGTGTTTTTAACCTATTAGCTCGAAATTTATTATTATCAATTATGAGCTCTTCTTTCTCTATTTAATCCATTGTCTACTTCGATAGACTTGTGTCACAGTTGTAATACAATTTAGAGGTCACGGTTGAACCACGTTCAATAGACTTTGTGTTATGTTAATCCCATTTGTCAGCTGTATAATTGGAATACTATTACCAAGGTTTCTAAACTTGGAATGGATGACAAAGCGTAAGTGACAAATAGCTATATGGATTCAGTATTTTACCTTCTCTAGCTCTTGCAAGAATTATATGGGAGTCGTCCTTGGGCTCTTGTCCTTAGATTCATTGGAACCTTCTTTTTCAAAGTCCAAGAAATTCATTGGATTCAAGTCTTTCTTTCAAGTTTCCCAAACCTAAGAGACTGGATGAGGTGGGACGAGTATAAGATCCCAAATACTATGAATTCCAGTGAATTTTTAATCATTTGATAGAAGATTGTTGGGTTCTTAAAGATTTGATCCAAAAATAATTAAATGAGGGTACCATTAAAATAAAATCTCCTCTCAAATCCGATATTTATAATAGCTGAAGATATTATTTGCTCTTAGCTTAAATTAAGAATGTTTCCATAATGTTGAAGGTCTGTTATTCCATCTAACTTGCACTTTTTTCCTACCATGATGGTAGACACTTTTTATTTTCCCACACAAACGGGTAATGGACACCCCTGTGATATCATTTTCCCATACCAATTGTAACATGACAGTGTCCATCTTGAATTATATCCCCTCAAAACACATTTTGATGTCGTACGAGTGATGCCATAATGGACAATATTGCGTATTATAGTGCAATAACGCTACAAATTGTATCAAAACCATTTGATTCTCATGATGTAAAGACCAACTGAACTGTTGCCTTTGTATCCAAGTGTAAGCAATGTAAAGGGTATCCAATTCTAAACACTACGGTAAGAATTGCCAACATGCAGTCTCGGCCATAGAAGTGAGTGAGGTTGCATTTGGATTATTCTTGAAATCCAATTGAAGTTCTTTCATTTTTGATTTAAAAAAAAACATCAATTGTCAAAAGCTTACGGTCGTATAATCTAATTTATTTTGCAAACTACAAAATAATTTGATCAATTTTCAGTATAATTTCCCATACAAACCAACTTATATAGTAATTTGGAAGATATAATCGGAGGACATGTATGGTTAAGTTCCATTTGTATACTTGGTAGAATCTAGCATATCTTAACCAAACCCTTTATATGGGCACGACGAGCACTTGTATGGTCCGGAGAGGCTTACTTATCTTATAGTTTAGGGGCTATATCTATATTTGATTTCATTGTTTGTTGTTTTGTCTGGTTCAATAATATTGCTTATCCTAGTGAGTTTTACGGACCCACTGGACCATAAGCTTCTCAAGCTCAAGCATTTACTTTTCTCGTTAGAGACCAACGTCTTGGGGCTAACCTGGGATCCGCTCAAGGACCTACCGGTTTAGGTAAATATTTAATGCGTTCCCCCCACCGGAGAAGTCATTTTTGGAGGAAAAATTATGCATTTTTGGGATCTGCGTGCTCCGTGGTTAGAACCTCTAAGGGGTCCAAATGGGTTGGACTTGAGTAGGTTGAAAAAAGACATACAACCTTGGCAAGAACAGCGTTCTGTAGAATATATGACTCATGCTCTTTTAGGTTCGTTAAATTCCATGGGTGGCATAACTACCGAGATCAATGCAGTCAATTATGTCTCCCCTAGAAGTTGGTTAGCTACTTCTCATTTTGTTCTAGGATTCTTCTTCTTCGTAGGTCATTTGTGGCACGCGGGAAGAGCTCGTGCGGCTGCAGCAGGATTTGAAAAAAGAATTGATCGTAATTTTGAACCCCTACCTTTGCAACAATAACTATACATAATTAGAGAATAATTCACAAATAATGGGTTTTATATCAGCTACAAACAAAAACTACAAACCCAACCTCACTCACAGTTTTTACAAAACTTCAAGAGGATCAGAGATAGCGTTTCCTCCTACTATCCCAAAGAAGATCGACTGATCATTCAGGCGAAAAATCACCAAATCGAGTAAATTTGGTTGTCTCAACATCTCCCAGACCCTAAGCCACACCTATATTATTTTTCACATCTTCAACCATAATCTATCCTTAACCGCTTCAATTCAGCCTGGAAAGTCGGGCTGGAAGTTAGTGTTCGATATGCAAGAGTCCTTATGTCCTCCCGTGAACAATCTCGTGAGATGCGAACGAGCTCCCAGAGGGCACCTCCACTAATCATGTCCTTTGCATTCACCTCTGAGATTAGCAGTTCAACAATTTTAGGGCAACAAAGCAACGAATAGTTTTAGGTCTGGAGCTAACAAAGGGAAGTGAATTTACCATGTTGTGCTAAATGGCAGAGTGCAAGCTCAATATGACGCCTGATTGGTGAGACGTCATTGTTAGCGTTCTGTACAATCCATGGCAGTGCACCATCATCAATCAGGAGAGACCTCCCAATCTTAGTCCCTGCAGTGATAGGACCATTGGAATACAATACATTAACCTATCACAAGAACTAAAATACAAATATTTATTTGCTTCCTGTATATTCCCTTCAGATAGATGTTCACAGGTTCCCTCTCCCATTTAAACTTAAATTCATATTATATCAGATACCAATGCGACAAGAAAAATATCAGTTACAACTACAGGTTTTTGTTGGAATCGGCAGAACATGTCACTTTTTTTTTTTTTTTTTTTGATAAGAAACAAACTTTTCACGGATAATTGAAGTTATTATTATCCGAGCAACAAATAGTCCAACGCTGTTACAATTAATACATAACAAAATAGCAACAAATGATTCAGGTGTTAGTTATGATAAAGAAAAAGCCTCTAAGCCATTTACCTTGTGCAGATGCTCTGGACTCACATTTTGCGAAGTTTGCAATTCCACGAGCAACTTGAGCCAGAACGTCAGGATGTCTGCATCTGACCATTCCTAGCAATGCCTTTATCCCACCTTCACCTCTTAGCTTCATTTGTAACTTATCTGGAATATGCAACATAATAGTTTTCAGTTGTAACAGCATGATACCACCGGACCATCCACAAAAACTACATGTAGCACGCTCCAACTTGGTAATCCAACTTATATGGGGAAATTTTGCGGTATATTTAGAGAGCTCTGAGACACATTGGTCATTGAGCTGTGCCACAGTATCGGGTGATACGACCGAAAATAAGAAGTTAAACATGGTGAGAGATTCTAGTCATATTCAAGGGGTTTCAAAAAGGAATTGGCCAATTTAAAAATGGGCAACCCACATCTGCAGAAGCTGGAGAGTCTGGGGGTTTCCTTGCATTTAACAGTAATCAACTTGTTGCAGACAGGATTAATGATTCCTTGAAAATGGATATTGCATCCTTAAACACTCTTTCATTTCACTCCATCCATAAGCTATAGTGTGGGGGGCCACCCTTTTGTATTTGTCCTCAATGTTTAATACTTTCCCCAGTGCTCTGGCAGTCTAGCTGGGATCAAATCATTTTGGAAACGGAATTGGATTTGAAAGAAGTTCTGGTCAAATGCACTTTTGGTGTTGGTATTCAACGAGTTTGTCATTATCATATATTGGCCAGTGATAGTTTGGTCTATAATGTTTTAACTAGTGAGAGAGAGACTGATAAAGTGAAAGACTTCATGTATAGAAAACCTATTCCATCCACGCCGACCATTTAGAAAGAATACTTGAAAATAGAAAGTTTCCCCCAAAAATCAGTCCAAATCCAATCCTTTTTAAATTCTGCTCAAACAACCAAAATCCTATTTTCAATTAAAATCACGCAATATAAATTCCCTATCCGCTCATGCAAACTCCAATTGAAATCAGACATTAAGCCAAACAAACAAATTCAGCAAAACTAAAATAAAAAAGAGTAAGGCAGATTACCATTGCCACAAAGGTTGGCAATTGCTCCAGCAACCATCCGAAGGGTTTGAGGATCCTCAGCCTTGCCTGCTGTCGTTGACAACAATCTTATGCCCCCTTGAACCATTATAAGCTCCTGATTGGTTTCTGCTTAGTGAATCATAAATATAATTAGGAAGGTGGCAAGAAATAAAACTTTATGCCAAAGGTAATGTAACAACAATAAAAACCGTGAAGGTAATGGAAATTTACCATTCATTGCAAGATTTGCAATTGCACCAGCTGCAACTCTGTGAATGGTCTCATCCTCAGAGCTGCTAAGAAGTGTCAACAAGGATGTAAGACCACCAGCTTCAACAATCTTCTCCTGATTTGTTTCTGCAGACAAGATGGAAGGTAAAAACTGTCTCTGACCAAATAATGTAACTCGAATAGCAAATTGTAAAATCTGCATTCATTAATAAACAACAAGGTTTTCAGTGTAATTTGCCCTAAATACAAATGGTACAAAGAAGCAGCGATAGCAACAGGAACAGCTACAACACAATAGTTACTGGGGTGGCACCCTCTATTTTGTTTAAGCCATAAAAATTCATTGTATCAGAATCTATCCCCATGTCCAATTGATAAATCCACAGCTCACACATCATAACTAATCATCTCATCCTCCCCATTTCTAAGGATTAACAGAAACAAACTCTTTAGAAATATATCTTCCAGACGAAAATTTCTTATGCTTAGAAGTATATTTGATTCCAATTTACAGTAAATTATCTGAAATAAATTCACGAATACAAAGGAAAAATTCAAGGAGACATCGAAGATAAGCACAACAAAGTCATTGCATTACCTTCAGCTGCCAGATTGGCCACAACTTTTACAGCATGAATTCGCACATCGGCATCTTCTGCTTCAAGCAATGACAAAATTTTTTGCAGTCCCACTGTTTAAAAACTGGATTCCATTAGAAAGAAAGAACAAAAAGTAATGTGCATTAAACGAACATTAAAAAATCCGTAACAATGTCCAGTACCTTGTTCAAAGAGTTTTGCAATCGAGGCCTTCTCCCCATCTCCTGAATCTTTTGGCTGTTGATGCTGAACTCGAGAAATGAGAGAATCTAGACTGCCAGGCCCTTTTGCAGTCCCATTTCTATCAAGCTTTCTTCTTGTCTGCAAACATATATGTTAGGACTGCAAACTGTAGTATATTTGTGCAGGCATGTGTGACACATGCATGTGTTAGTGGAGAGGAGGGTGAGTAAAAAATGCTACAAGGGTGGTTCATTTGCCAAGATTTTAATTTTTGTTGATATGTTTTACAGAAAGTCCAATCATTGAGACAGTAATATGGCTGCAGCACATGAAATTAAAACAGTGAGTTCCCACCAATGCCAATACGTAGTTCAGAAGATACTTGTAGACCCTTTGATCATGTAATTAAACTATCCTCCACTCCAAAAAAAAAAATTGGCCCGGATAAATGAGATGGTTTCAAAACTATTATGCCCACTAAACAAAGATCTTCAAATTGCAGAAACCCCGTAAGGGCCGCAACTCATGGTCCAGATTCCAGAATAGAAGTTAACCCTTGTTAACGAGAGACCTTCACATCTCCCTTTTCCTGATCCTCATTCACTTATCTCACAGCAAAATTGCAAGACTACACTGGCTTTTGAAGCCCCCTGCCACCACCGAGAGGAGCACATGACCCCAACCAAGCAGCGCTCTTGCTTTTTGGATGTGGCTCTGTTAATTTTCAAACTGTTCAGACTCATCTCAGAGCTTAAAGAACCCCAGCTGAAACTCAGCCAGCACTTGTTGGGTGGGATGACTCTTGAAAAAGTCTCATTTGCCTCAAAAGTATGCAGTCATGTTTAAAATTCTTGATCAAGAGTTGAACATTATAAAATCCAAACACATAGTACATCACGTTAGAAATCAGGTCGGAAGTGTCATCTTGTCAAGACACATCCTTTGTTTCTCCTGTTGTCAAGTATCACAAAGGTGAAAAAAAAGGCGACCTAATGCACGAGGTTCCTACTATCATGGGGTCAAATGTACACAACCTTACCTCCACATGAGAATCATAACTCCAAGGGAAAAAGCTTGGTTCATTGCAGCGCTAATCATAACTACAAGGGAAAAACGAATAAAAGAAGGCAGCCTCGCTAATTCATTTCAAAAAATCAAAGTACACGCATCACTAGAACCTAAGAATTCTAATACATAGAAAACATTGCTGGAATCATCCTTTCAGGAAACCAATGGAAATTTAGTTTATCACATTCATTATGTATACCGACAGCATACCTCATCAGCTTCAAAACTTATTTGCAATAGCTGACTTTGTAATATTGCTATTTCTTCTTCTAGTTTTGTTTTCTGGCATGTCTCATCTTCCAGCATCTTGCGGAGCTTTAAGATCTCACAATTGCATGCTGCCTAGTATAGCCAAGGATCGCTATGAGCAGCCCAGTTACAAAGAATGCAAAGAGGCCATAGATAATGCCGGGAATTGAGATATTAATTGAGGCATAAAACACCAAGTTAAGAATAGAAATATTAATTGAGGTATAAAACATGCCTCCAACCGTTTCCATTGTGCTACTTGATTTTTTAGATTATTGACTTCCTCTTCTGCAGCCTCCCGTAAAAGAGTCTCATTCTGAAGCAATATTTTGACATCAGTAACTTCTTCAGAAACAGGCACTGCAGCCTGCAAACCAGAGAGAGCAAATGGCGAGTTATCGGTAAATAAAATACTAAGCGAGCCATCAGTACACAAAATTAAACTTGCTTAGCCCAAGTAGTCCAAGCTGAACATGAACAGCTAAGATGATAGAAAGGCTATTTATTAAAGAACATAAAATGGATTTGTACGGGGAGATTCAGACTTTAGAAGAGGATTTCAAACCCAGATGACAACAGTGGTGAAAAAGGAAGTTAAAAGAAAACATGTGAAACTCTCAACAGTATGGTATCAAAGTTATGTGTCCATAAGGTCATGGATTCAAGTCTCTCTCTGTGTATCTAGTTCCCCTCTCATGTTTGTAATGATTAACCCGATTTGGTTTCTGTTTGTGCAAATCAATGCTGATATACATTGTTGTCCCATTCTTTTAGATTAAACTTTTGGAGTAAATTGTAGTCTAAAGCTTCAAAATTTCTCTGTTTATAGTTTAAAATCTCAAAAATACAGTGAAATAAAAACCAAAGCACACTATTGAAATGTGCAGTAAAGATTGATAATATAACAAGTGTTGAGCCTAAAGAAGAGATAAACAAGGTAAAAAGAACATATTTTACATCCTTGAATAACTGACAACAGTTTAGGCTTCTATACCCAGTATTGGTATAAAACACATTACAAGAAAGTACAAGGGCTACATGTAATCAAGTGATAAGCCCGAGCTTTAGACTAAATATATAGTTACTGAACTGGAGTACCTCTCTGCTAGATGTCTTATAAAAGCTATCATCTTCGCGTTCAACTTTGACTCTTTCATTCCCTTGCTTTCCTTGGTTTATTATCCATTGCTCCTCAAGCTTCTTTATAGACTCCATATAGTCTTTTTGATATTTCAATCTCTCCTTCTGCAGAAAAACCAACATATACATTGCAAAGCATTCAGAAAGCTAACAAAACCATGTCATGGCACTGAAACAAGAATGATAAATACAAGGTAAATAAGATCCAAGCGTTTACAAATCCCAACTTGAAATCACAAATAGAGGGAGGTGTTGACGTTAGTTAGTTTCTGTACTCCAGCTTCTAGGGTCATGTATAAGACAAAAGCACTGGCAGCACAATTTAAAATGCACGAGTAGAAAACATATCCACATATGACATATTGAAAACACCTCCATCAAAATTCTATACAAAATATTGCACAAGCTATAAGCCCATGAGGGTAGAATCATAATGACATCTAAATATGCATATCTGTAAGACCAACACTCATGTTACATACACTGATAAGAATAGATAACCTAGAATTACCTCAAGTGCATCAGCATAATTTCTTTCAGCCTCAGCAATACGTTTCTGTGCTTCTGCAGCATTTCTTTCAACCTCATCCCGAAACGCTTTTTGCTGTCTCTCATGTTCAGCAATGAGTTTGTCTAATTGTATGTCAAGCCTTCTGGACAAGCTCTTGTAATCAAACTCCTCCTTTAGTTTCAACATATTCTCCACTTTCATGGCCTATGAAATATAAAAGTATTAACCTCTTTCCCAATGATAAAAGGCCTTCAGTCATATGTTTTATCTTTTATAATTCAACCAAATTCCCCATCAAATTATTAATGACTACTTCAAACCACCACATTTAAAAATTCATTGCTAAGAACGTCATAGAAAACATTAAAAAACGAAGAAGAATCAATTAGTGGAGTCCACAATAAGGTTATGATTGGGTACGTACCCTTTGTCCAAACATTATGGTACTTGCCGTCTCCCCTCGATGGCGTGGAGACGGACCAACAGTAATAATTAGTGAAGTTCTTGCTGTGCCTGGAAGAACTTAACAATGTGAGGCAAATTGCAATGGAACTTGAACTAATAAACACATCTGAATAAGCTCAAGGAGGAGCAAAACATTTCCCATCCATGACTCACAATAAATGTGCATACAACTGAAGCAATCAAGTCATAATTTTGCAAATTAGGGAAAACAAACCATTAAAAGAAACTGATCTCCACATGCATTTATGTCTCACCTCCAAATGAATCTCGAAGCAATCTTGTAAGCTTCGAGTCACGTACTGGAACATGAGCACTATTCTCTGCTAATGCATTAATACACTTCCCTAGGGCACTCAAAGAGAGATTTATAGATTTAGCTTCCTCTAATGCATGTCCCTCACTTCCTGCCAAATAGCATACAAAACAAACTGTAACTTGGCCAGTGACGACAAGCTTAAACGTAATATAACTTATACTTTCCTTTGGTATACGAGACAATTTATGTATGTCGATTATTACACATATTATCTAGTTTTAACATCAGCTCATGGATACTAAGGGACAAAATATAGAATTAATAAACCAGAGATATCTAATGTAGGAAGCAGACAACCTAAGACAGTCACTCGCAACTTTTCCACTCATTAACACATTCTGCTGGCACAGAGAGGCAACTACATTGTAACAAGAAAAAAAAAGACAAAAAAAAAAAAAAAAAGTGTACTTATGAGGAATACATGAAAGGTGCATCCTGGTGGACTTCAGAAAACACGGGGGTGGGGAGGGGGGCTAAAAAAAAAAGGAATGCCAGCTGTCGAACGAGTGAAACCCTCTTGTAATAATTTATGTTTGGACAAGATTAGGAAAGAGTATAAGTCCTTTTGCATTTCAAATTGAAATCTGCATCAAAGTGGAACACCTAAAATTTCAAAATAGAAAGGAGAACATAGAAGGGGAAGTCGCAATACTGCAAAATATTCACACCATTTGGTATTTTTTTGTAACTTTTAATCGTTCATTTAAATATCGTTATCTATTTCAATGCATTCCCCAATATTCTATGCTTCAAGGTATGTATTGAAGTATTCACAAATCGTCAGCTGATCAATACTAATAAAGAAAGTGGAAATGTAACATCGAATAATGGAGGCCCTTCAAATTATCCACCGTTCAGATGCTGCTTTGCATGCCAACGAAATGTGTTTTATCATAGTACAGCCCATTAAAGGAAAAAGCACACATGATGGACGTATACATAACATGTCTTATGTTCACTTCAAGAAAAATATGTGGAGTGTGTAAGCGGAGAATGAGGTGAGGCAAGAAGTAAGTAAAAAATACTCAGTTGGGAAAATTTTATTGAAGAAATTATCATTTATAACAGTGAGTTGTCATAGATACCTGACTTATCAATACGCTCAGAACCCGCAAGATCTACAACAACAAGCTTCGCTTTCCGAATAATGGGAGGCTTTAATGTTTTAGCCATGTGAGATGTTTTACCATTTTCACTTGAAAAGGCAGAATCTCTTTCCTTGATGGACCTCTTGACATGTACCTGCAGCAAGGGAATAATCCTATTGATGACCACCAATATAACGTCTAACAGTTCAATTAATTGGTAAAAATCTCCTCATACTTTCAAATGTCAAAAAAGAAAAGTGAATTGATTCACCATCAGGATGGCATGACTACGAGAAGATTCTGTATTTAACTTTGTGTTTGCAGCAAAGCGATGAGCTTCCCCTAACTGCAGTAGCTCCACAGAAGTCTGATGATCCCTGACTTCAACTACAGTAGCCCCAGGTAGTGAAACATCTCCTGTTTTAGGATCTTCCATGATGGCTATGTTATCATTAGTGGGGTCAAGAAGGTCCTGTATGGTCTCCATATAAAGCTGCACATATTAATGGAAAACACAAATGTCACACCATCTTTAAGTTTGAAAAACCTCACCAACACATATCAGAAATACTTGATAGGGGTAATGGTGGAACAAATTTGGACCAACGGAAAAGGGAAAATAATTATTTCCTGCTGAACAAACAAAAACTATAATACGAACATTTAAAAAATCACAGCATCTGTTTAAATGATTAATGACCTGCAAATAGGAGACAGATATAGAGTCAGTCTCTGGAGAAGTTTCCGCTATTATGTCCTCCAATGCACGCACCATTATTCCACGAGCAGCTGTGTCTTCATCGCCCAATCGTCCAAGTGTGTATGTTTTCCCAGTACCCGTCTGCCCATATGCCATGACTGTTCCATTGTAACCTTCCAGCACACTCTGCAGAAGCAAGTAACACACAAGCAGATATGGTATAAAGTAGATTCCTGTTTGGCATTGACCAGAACTATGAATCATAAAGAATGGTGAATGCACAAGATTGCAATGAAACTTCCAAATCGGAGAACAAAACTATATGGATTTTAAATGCAGAGAAAAAGGGCAAAAAATATTCTCATCTTGGGAAAGATCAATTATTCATGCATGAGCATGTCTTAAAAAAAACTCACTTACTAAATATGCAAATGCCTACACAAATTCAAGAAGTTCATTGCTAATCTGAAGTCAGCCATACCTCAACCACAGGCTTTGCCACGACTTCATAAACACGCTTTTGTGATGCAAATTCCGTAAGAACCTCATCAAACTCATAGGTATCAGAATCCCAGTTGTTTCTTCGAAGTTTTAACCTTTTGAGCTGAAATAAAGTCGGGAATTAAAGAAAAACATAAATTACAATACTCTGATAAAGCAGCAGCCAGCAGGCAAGTAAAAATAATGTCCTTTTGATATTCCAAATAGACTCTGCTACATAAGAATGCCATGAAGAATACCTCTGGCTGCAACTCTACGCAATCAGCGAAATCAGCATCAGTGACCAACTCTTCTGCATTTCGAGGTCGTAATCTCACGGCAACTCGAACTCTCCCAAGAACTATATGCAAGTATAGGCACATCAAAGAAAGCACATTTTGAGATTCACAATAATGACCTAAATCCAAAACAAAGATAGAAAAGAAAGTAGTAGTTCCTTATTTTGCAAAAAAATAAGCTGTAGACCATACTTAAAAGCATACTCTAATAAAATGTAGGGGTCTCCGGATGCTCAATATTAATATATAATATCCCTCCCTTCCTTAACAAAACAAAATTTCGATTATTAGAGAAAGAGAAATCAAAATTCTAGCAGCATTTTCATGCATCCAACCTGGACATTCCAATTTCACATTAGTACTCACCAAGGGGTTTACATGTTTGTCTACTTAGTCAAACCAGGAACTTTAAATATTCAGCTAAAACAAGACATAACTAGAAAGGAGCACAAATGGTAACACTTGTGATGCTTCTCTTCACCTTTGGAAGATAATCATAACTCACCAAAATAATGCGGCCTTATTCACCATACAGACAAAGTATATAACATCACCAAAAGAGCCCCCTAAGAACAGTCTATGAAAGATTAAGTTCCTACTAGGAAGCACAAAAAAGGGTACTGCATTGTGATTGTCAAAGCATCAAGGCATCAGGCTCTTGAATAAGAATGGAGGTACTCTTTTTAAGTCACAACACATCGAAATGATCTCTCCAAGGACTACTACATGCAGAATTAGTGGTAGCAGCAACGGTGCAGCATGGCAAAAGCAATCACCCTAGAAAGCTCAGCTCAGCTCAACCCCCCTTATTAGTTAAAACAAATTACTTCCCAAGGCTCCCTTCTTAACTTGAGCTAACAACTTGATATGGATCTGAATACTAAGTCTAATGACCATAATCAAGCCCTTTCATTACGACCTTTTATGATGATTAATGGGCATGGAGAACAAACAACAAAGTTCTCTAAATTTTGGGTTCCCGTTTTCTAATTCCATCAGTTTAAATGCCCTTCACAAGTCAAAAAGATTAGTAAATAATAGAGTAGAAAAGATTTCCAGAAGGTGGATAGAGCAACACATTGCCTTGTGACAGACAAGAGATATATTTCTGCAGAGAATAGGATATCCAAAACAGCAATTTCAAATGTAAAATACCATTCACTGAAGAAGTGCAACAATTGACTTTCAAAAGCTCACACGTTAACCAAGAAAATCATGACGATCAATCGAGAACTAAAAATTTCAACCTTCCTGAAAACATTCCTGAAATTCAAAACACTAACCTCCAGCATCGTCCTTAGCCGCGGCGGAGGAATTACCGAGCGAACCAGTACTACTGCGGCGGAGACCCGAAGAGTTCGACACCGGCACCGAAGGTTTGGACTTCAAAGAAAAAGACGACGACTTCGTGTTTGAGTTCCATGAGAGTGGTCTATCGACCTTGACAGCCCCTTTCTGAGCACCATTTCGATAAGTATTCGCCATTAATGATCACTTCTCATGATTTAGCTTTCAAAAACTTTTCACCATTGAAGACCAGAGAGAGAGAGAGAGAGAGAGAGAGAGAGAGAGAGAGAGCTTTGAATGATATGAAGAGAGTTGAAATTGAAGTTAAAGCAGAGTGGGGCTCGATCGCGTGAGTGGGGCATGTGACTCAGAAAAATCCGGGTTTTAGAAGAGAGAGAGAAAGTCAGGTGATTCAGATCAGGTCATGAAATTATGGTGGGTCATGAAACTTCTTAGCACTTTTTTTAATGTTCTCTTTTTAATCGAATTCCCTTTACTACCCTTTAAAACACTAAATATTACGTCAAAACCTGGTTCGTGACACCCTTTAAATACGCTGACCGAGTCACCGACTCTATCGTGTGATGTGACGACGTGGGCCTCTTAAAATACGTTATTAATATTATGGGTGAATTTCACTTAACACCCCAAAAAATTTAAAAATTTTCACTTTGTATCTTTAAAATTAAATTTCTTAGATTATACCTTTAATGTATAAAAAATATTGCAATAATATCCTGCTGTTAGTTTTCGTTGCTCATATCATCAAAGTCAATGGTTTTTCATTTTGTCAATATTAATAGGGTGATTTTTCACGGAATAATCAATGGAAACTAACGGTAGTCCACGGTGCAACAATTTTAATAAAGGATAAATTTTATAATTAGTCCATGGTGAACTTTTAATTATTCCAATGTAGTCCCTCAACTATTAATTTCGTGTTAGTTAAATTATTTTGTCAATTTTCACTATTAAATCAGGCAAAAACATATGATCTAATGATAAAAATTAATCAGATCAGACTAGTCTCTATTTGATCTAACAATAAAAATAGATGAAATGACTTAATTAAAAAAAAATTATAATTGATGGTATAAATTAGAATAATTGAAAGTTTATGGAGTAAATTAAAACTAAAAACAAAGTTCAGGAACCAAAGATTATTTTTACCCTTCAATATATTAAGAGACAATGTGAAAGATCTAATCTTTGAAGATGAATAATGGAAGTTCCTAAACCTTTTGGGATGCAAAGTGCGATTCCCTTATTATAATTATTAAAAATTGGAAAAAATAAAGTAAAATATGGCGTAGAAATTTAATTATATTGATGGAGTTTCTTGCTGATTGTTTAATTGGTCTCTATGTTTTCAATTCTTTCAGAAAGTATGGCTGGTGCAACGATGGACTAAGACTAATTCTTTCCATATCTAGTTTTGAGAATGAGATGCAAGCAAGTGATAATCCATGCACCATTCAAGCTTTTGTACCTGCAATGATGCTATGTTGGATGTCGTATTCGATGTGGTATTAAATTTTTATACTAAATTTTTACATATATTAATGATAGAATCCGGTCTTGAATCAACTTACAAGGTATGGTGTCTAAAAATTTAAACACACATAGTCAAGCCCATACTTAAATATTGTTGGACCGTTTAAGTGGCGTCACAATAGATTATTATATAACAAAGTTAATGCAACTCTTTAACGGAATAACAAATCACGAACAAGGTAAATATATATTGATATCATTTAACAATGTGAGGAGCTTCTATCTCTCCAATATATTTTTGCTTAATTTGAAACACAATAGACATTTTTTTCAATTAAAAAGTCTAACAAAAATAAAATTGAGATGATCCAAAACCTACATGGTGGTAGTATCTCTGTCACTACAAACTAGAATAATTTGTCACAAATTGGTAACACCTTGGAGTTAGAGTAAGAAAAATTTATTCCTCAGAAATTAATCAAAGATTAGCCTGAATACACACTGGCGCAGAACCAGCAATAATGAGAAATAGGAAGTCCACTTCAAGAAAAGGCTCAAGTGTAATTATCTTTTTGGTTTGGTGCTTTGATAGCGTAAACTCGAAACAAAACACCCAACTGTAGTATCATTGTCAGTTAGCTGCAGAAACTACCAAGAAGAAACAGTTGCTTGGAAGAAAAGGCAGACCACTCTCTAATATCATGTGGGGAGAAAAAAATCAGAAGTTTAGCGAGGGCGGTCTTTTTTTTTTTTTTTTCAGAGCGTGTATAGGTTTGCGTTAAGTTATTGGAAAATATTGGAGAGAGAGGGAGAGAGCTTTTGCATACAAAAAGCAAAAGAGATAGAGAAAGATGATGTTGTTGAAGTCTACTGTTACAAAGTTACAAACTATGAAGGCGCCAAAAAGATAATTTAGCACCATTTGAAGTTTTATGTTTTCGAGTCATATGTTCCTTAAATTAAAGCAGATTCAAAGCCACTACATATTTTTCATTTTAATCAGTAGGCATTTGATCTCTTAGAGAATTTGATTAACTGTTTTATATTTGAAAATCTAACTCAAAAACATTATTGATGAAATGAGTATGTATTTTATTTGTATAGTTTAACTCCAATGATTGAATCTATGGGACCATCGACAACGTAAGAAACAATGGTCCATCGAAGATATTATTCTTATTCTGACTAATAAAATAATATTATAGTGTTTGAGTCTGATCTTTTATAACTCAGAAATTTCAATTCAATTCTTTTTTACACCCTCTAAGAACTAATCATCTTTGTCCCTTTAAGAACATGATCTAACCTAACTCAAATCATGGTGACAAAAAGATAATTTATTTTTCTTTTCTTTTTTTCCTTGAAAAATGTTACTTTGAACAGAGTAAAATTGATGAAATTAAACGGGGCCCACTATTTTTTTTTGAATCGAACACACTTTGATATTATATGTAATTTATTTCGATGTCATATATATAATATGGTAGGCCATGGTACTATAGTTTCAAAAAAAAAATGGATTTGGAGGCAAAGAGATGGGAAAGCTAATTCTATTTGTACACATTAATGTGAGGATTGGCGATGTTGAAGGTTGTGTCACACTCTCACCTATCAAATATGCAAAATCTATAAGAAACATTAAACAGGGAAGTGGCTCTATCATTATTGTGGTTCAAATGTCCTTTTTGTTGGGACCCAATTGCCTGTTTAACTAAAATTGAAGGAAAAACATGATGCAACAACAATAAAGTTGACTAAGACTGTGATATCGTTTTTTGTATTGTACTGAAAATTATAATTTTTTAAAGTCATGCTATAATATTTTTTTTTTTTGAGGTGTAACAACTATAGAGAAAATGAACGATTCTAAAATGTTTTGATCGATTATGAAAATTATACTGTTTAAAAGTCAAGTTACAAATTTTAAATGATAAGTTATAATTCATGGAAGAGAAATTATAATTGATTGAAGTAATTTATTATTGATCATAATATTTCATGATCGATTATGAATTATCTTAAACAATGGTGATTTCACCTTTAAAATGTATAACTTAACCGTAAAAAAATAGTAGTTTTGGAAAAAATTGTTAATATAAAATTTCCTATTACAGATTGTCGTATATCGGAATCCGAATTCAATTAATTAAGTTTTTTTGTTAATTTGATTCAATCTGATTATTCGATGAATTTAACAAATTCAATCGATGTTTTAATTCATTAATGTTCGTATACTCGATCAGAAAATCCGATCAGATCTGATTATCATAACAAGTAGATGTATACCAAAAAAATTAATAATAAGAATTTGGATAATTAACTAAAAAAAGGAGGAAAAATGAAAAATTAAAGTGAAAGCAAAAGAAAAAGAAAAAATCAGATAAGAGAGGGAAATTTGGATAATTAATCCATTTTTACTTGTTTTTCAGTATAATATTTATTTACCTAATAAAAATTTTTATTCAGATCGGATTAATAACGGATCAAATTATTACACATTCATATCTAAATCCGTTTAGACAATTCTAATCAGATTCAGATTAATGAATTGAAAATATGATTCATATCAACTTAAACGGATCGAATTAGAGTTGAAATCCAATTCATTGACATGGCTACTTTGACGGCGTGTTCCTCGACCTCTCGTGAACTGGGATCAAAACAAAAATTTATTGAATCAACAAAACTTATGTAGGAAAGAAAGGGCCTTAAATGTTTTTTTTTTTTTTCCGGGTGTGAGATTGGGGTTGGGGGGAGGGGGCTTGTGGTTTGGAGATCACAAGCATCTTGATTTAGAGTGGTGGTGATGGTCCAAGAACATGTCATGAATTTTTAACCACATATATTGCATAAAGTGAAATATTATTCTTCATCTTTTCTTCGTGGTTGAAGAGTCAGAAAGCCACAAATAAAGGCAGAAAAAGAGTACCTACTATTAGCTATTCTGATAGAGATTTTCCATCACCACTGGATAGCACTGCCAGTCGTTCTCATAAGAGAGAGAGAGAGAGGGAGAGAGGGAGAGGGAGAGAGAGATCATGTTCCACCACCGCAGGTCATACTCATATTGAGTAACCTTTTTATTTTTCTTCCCATCACATTACTGGACTGAGACTCATCGGTAAAAAGTTCAAAAGCTCAGAGCAAGTGGCCCCTGAAGTATGAATTAAAGCATTTGTCATGCACAGGCACAGCATTGTATTCACATCCATATTTCATTGTAGAAAATCCTAGATATCAACATTTTTCCGGACAGAACATTCATATCACAAACACGAAATAACACAGTCCATCACCTTATCACAATTACATACTCAACAAACAGAGGAATATATATGTCAGAAATAGGGAATGACTCATATTCACAAGTGTAAAAATTCGTTAGCCAATAATGGTGGTGGTGGTGGTGTCAACGCAATGGAGCGATGCCCACTTGACCATCAATCGATATATTTGCTGGGGGGGGGGGTATAGCACCACAGAACGGGACAAGTCTATTGGATACTTCTAAAGTATACAGGGAATATCAATTTTAACAAAATTAAATATTTTAGAATTTTTAGGATTAAGTATATGTGAGTGACTAGAATTGAGATTTTCATATGATGAAAATCAGCCATTTTTTAGAACGTAAGTAAAATTCTACCGAACTATGTAAATGCTCATGCTCATTCTTGACTATTTTTCTTTCTTGTCCGATTATTTTTGCACTACACATTCACCATAATGTATATAATGCAACAATACCCTTTTTTTTTTGTTATAATTTCATTTTTTTTTTCTGGTGTGACAACCCAAACCCAGGCCACTTCCATGACCTTCAACCTTCAAAGGCTGACATTT